AGCATTATATTGCAATACTTCTTATGGCTCACGAGACTGTAATGTAGTTAAGTCACTCATTCGATTTTACGCATTACTGCCGAGCAGGGTCGAATTTAGAGGTGTGGAATCCCTGGGGCGATGGAGTGGAGGCCCCTAACGAAGCCCCAGTTTGGTGACCCGTCGAAATTTTGTTATTTTTATCTCTATTGTGGGGGCCCCACGCATGCCCTGCCTTTAAACCCGATCCTGCTGCCGAATAAGTGAAATTAGGTGTTTCTAAAATGTCAAGTATATTTGCTGATGTAGTGCCAGTGCCGTCTTTGACCTATTGGAGCCCCTGGGCATATTAGGATAATGGGGCCCCATGACTTCCGTTTGGTGATTTAACAGGAACTAGGGACTTTGTTTTTGATCTGAGGGGCCTATCGATTGCGGGGCCCTGGGCACTTGCCCAAAGTGCCCACTGGGAAAGACGGGTATCTGTAGTGCAATTATCTTAACTGTTTCATTACGAATGTAAAGACCACTATAAAGATCTTCACCATAAAGTAGAACCGAAAACTTCGACTGTAAAATAAGAAAATAATAATTAGTAAATAAGTGTATTCGTGTAATTGTATTTTGAAATCAATTTCTAAAACAATGTTTTCCACTCTACATTACATACTTTAGATTGTCAACTAACAAATTTCTCAAAAATCTGAATATAATATGTTATAACATAAAAATAAAATAATCAAGTTCAATATAATGATGTCTCTGTGGGGAAATTATCTTCGGTTCTTAAGTTGTCAGCCGATCTGAGATCGCATGCTGAGTTAGACCAAGCGACTGTGTCTAAAAGGAAAGACAATATTAATTTACATATAAATATATCAAAATTTAGTGTTATATAAACGTATTCGATAAATTGGTCACATTCCTTGTTTGTAACAAAATTTTATTAATGTGTTATATTTTTTTAAAGTTTTTATATTTTATAATTTTGGGTATTTATATATGAGATATCATTTTAGTAGTAAATAATACTCACTGTTATATGTTTTGAGAGATTTTGTTATATTTTTTTAAGCTATTGCTACATGTTTGTTGTTGTTTAGTATTTTTTTTGTTGAGGTAGGGCACAAGAAATAACTCCTTAGAATCGTAGAAGTATTATTGTGACAAATAAATAAGCTAAGGGTTTTGTTCGATTTATTAATTATATATATAAGTAATAAAATTTAAATCAATCAAAATTCATCTTTTATTTCTAAATGTACTAAACCATAGAAAGAACTGTAGTTTTTTTTGAGTGTGCATGCTGTTGGTCGCAGGTAACCTTTACAGCGTCACTGGGTTTGGGGTCGGCGAGATCCTTAGGGGACCTCAAGCCGAGAATTTGGCGAGTGCCTCTGGAGGTATTCCAGGCGGATGGCATCTCCCCACGAAGGGGAGTCTTCTCTCCGTCTGGAGCCTCTAGACCACTCGAACCTGACGGTGTCTCAGAGATGCAGGCCTCGGCTCTAGTTAGCCGTTGTCGTGGGGGTTCTGCTGTAGTGGCAATGGGCGGGAGATGTGGCAAGGAGAACCGATGGCCGTTGGGGCGGAAAGGTTCTTGAATGGCGGCTGCGCTCAGACGACGTTCAGTGGACAGATCACTACGAGGTGGCAGATGATCTGGCGGGCTATTCGCTAACTTTTTTGACATTTACGGTGTATAACTTATGAACCCGACCACACACATTTGACATTGACATTTCGGTTTGCAAAACTATTCGAATTCGACAATGGTTCGGGCTAAGGGTACTGATTTTTAGTTCTCGTTACGTACTTTGTGGCGTTGCTGTTCAAGTTTTCATACAAAATTTGACATTGGTATTTAGCACTCGCAAACTATTCGAATTCGATAATGGTTCGTGCTAGGTGTACTGTCCTCAAGCACGAACAATTAGTGAGAAAGTATTCATATTGTCATCGTCAGTTTCTATGGAAGGACCTGGTTTGAGGCAAAGGTTTGTGGTGGCAAAAGTCGTCAAAAAAAAGAAGGCTGTATACTCTTAGCACGAACCATTATCGAGTTCGAATAGTTAAATTCGGTCTAGTTACACGTAAGCCCCCTTATTAATAAACAAGGAATAAGATTAGACTAGTTATGCCGTGTCTTGTTCATGCCACTCAAATTCTATTAGTCATTTAACTAGCAAACCAGTGAACCAAATGTTCACCAAAGCCTGATTTAAAAAATGTATATAATTAATTGAGAACTTCGGAGATTTTCTGTGGTCTCGTATGAAATTATTTAGTTAAAAAAAAGAAAAATAACCTTTAAATAGTTAATTAAAATTGTGATAATTACAAAATAGAAATCACGTGATTTCTCGAAAACCGGAAGTGCTACGTTACTCAAACCCGGTTTGTAGTCCTATCAGACTATTCTTAACTTATAACTTAAACATTCTCTTTATCTATCTCTTACGGTTTGGCCGCTGAAACAGCACCACAGACGGACGGACGGACTTGTCTAATAGATAAGAGATAGGCAAAGACAAAACATGGAGTTACTAAATAAAACTAGTTTTAACGGGTTAATGCACGAAACTTTATTTATTTATTGATGTTTCGCAGCCTTTTCGAAACGTCAATAAATAAATAAAGTTTCGTGCATTAACCCGTTAAAACTAGTTTTATTTAATGACTGATGTGCGTGAAAACCTAAGAAACAAATATGGAGTTACTAATCCAAGCGTAGTCTTCGTTTATTAATAAGGGTGCAAATACATAGAGGTATAAGAACAGATTATAATGATGTATTAATGAGATTTAATTTTAATAATCTAACTTTCGAGCCCCTTTAACGCTAAATAAAAGTGTCAGTGTGATAAAATATCTTATTCCTTACTATGAAATAAAGGAGTTTGTAGAATGCCCCTATTCCTGATTGCCTCTATCTTTGCTGCCATCATTGATGGTGATAAGCAGTGCCGTTTTTAACCTATTGGAGGCCCTGGACATATTAGGATAAGGGGGCGTCCATAAATTACGTGAGATGTTTAAGGGGAGGAGGGGGTCGAGTCAAATCTCATCTAATCTTACGTTGGAGAGGGGGGGGGGGGTCTCGGCAAATATCACGCAATTTTTTTTCACAGTAGTATCTATTAAGTATTCTTTTGTTAAATTTTTATTACACTTATAACTCTCAGTAATATTGATTACTAGTCTTAACCAGTCGTAAATAAAAGCACGAAGCATTTTTTTTTCTTTTTACAATAACAATCCAACGCGTTTACGAAAGAAATACACATTTTGAAAAATCTCACGTGAGATTGGGGGATGGGAAAGGGGGTTGAATAAAATCTCACGACATCTCACCAGGGATTTTACCTCTCACGTAATTTATGGACGCCCCCTAATGGGGCCCCTATGAGTTCCATTTGGTGATTTAACAGGAACTAGGGACTTTGTTTTTGATCTGAGGGGGCCCCTATCGATCGCGGGGCCCTGGGCACTTGCCCAAAGTGCCCACTGGGAAAGACGGGTCTGGTGATAAGGAATATGTTTTCTGTTGCTGTTTGCCTCCACGCCACGCAATCAAGCCTCTGTTCGGAAATACTAAGTACAAAAAAAATATAGTTTTCCCAAACAGAGGCAATTAGTTAATAAAAACTATTTTAGCAAAATAATTTAACCACCGAAAAGTGAAAAATTGTAAACCTATTTTTAACCTGAACCAAAATAATATTTGCGTCGATGCCAAGTCAACCCAAAAAAATAAAAAAGGTTTATTAATTTCCTTTTTTTTATAACACTTATTTATTTATTACATTTTAAGTTGATGATGTGTTATGTTATATTGTGATGTAGAGGATTTGATAGTTGGTACGAGAGAGTTGGTGGTAGCTTAGTACGAGTTTGAGCTCACGAAAACTATCATAGTTTTCATAATTGTAAATTATGTTTCTATGTCCAATTTGGTGAAAAGTAACGAAATATATTTAAAATCTAAGAATGCGCAAATGATTTAATTATGTAATTTAAACACTGTTTATTTGTATTGAAACGAAAACAATAAAATCAGTACTCTTAGTACGAGTGCGAGCTTACGGTACAGAATCCGAGGCCGCGTCGAGATGCAGCAGATGCAGATGGGGTAGCTAAAATCTATTTCTGCACTTTTTATCTGTATGGGGTTGAACCCCTTAAAACATTATAAAAAGATTGTTTGTCAGTCTGTATGTTTTTGCATAGCAAGGCAAAATAAATAAACTGAAAATTTGAAGACTGTAAACCTAACCTTTTGGCTGAAAAATTAAGTGACAAACCACAACAGACGGACACATGAGCGACAGCATTACGGCTCCGTAAGTTTGGACCCTTCAGTGACGCAACCCTAAAAGCAACATGACGAAAATCGATTACGCTCTATTACTTTAATTTATGATTCGATTCAACAATTTCTGTGTCACGTTACTAGTGTAAAGTTGACAGTAGCGGTTGCTATGGTAACTGACAGATTGTTTAACTGGGCGGTGTAAACAAATGAACTGCGGCTGCCACACTTCAAATGTGCCGATTAATATCCGCACGTATTAAATTATACCTCACGAAATAAATCTACAACGGCGTAAATTATAATATCTGAAAAAACATGGAATTCGTGAGACTCTACAACTCTGCTAAACGTAAGTACCTACCTAGTTATACAGCTTTTTATAAGTGGTTAATTGGGCATTGAAATTCAAATGTATTCGTGCGTGACACATTTTGCGTGAATCGGGAGTCATCAAAAAATATCGATTCATCCCCCTGTTCCCTGTTTGATCGATATTTTAAAATGACGAGAAATACGCAAAGCTTTTATTCAAATCAGTACAATCGGTGAGCGTACCTCATAATTTTAATTTTATACGTTTCGGGTACGATAACACGGCCCGTTTTGCGTGTTCAACATTTCGCATGACCAGATCACGGGACACGCTACGATAATTTGTTTTTTTATTTGTAGCAGTGTAAAACGAAACGTTTGTTAACGAGTACCAATGAGTCAAAGCCACCCAAAGAAGGATGAAAGGAAGAAGGACGCAGCGCAGAATAAAAATGTTCAAAAGAAGAGCCCGGAAAAGAACATGTCGGAAATCGACGAGCATATTTTAAAAAGGTTTGAGATCAAGAAGCGGTTGGGCAAAGGTGCGTACGGAATAGTATGGAAGGCTGTGGACAAGAAGACCAAGGAGGTTGTGGCTATTAAGAAGATTTTCGATGCGTTCCGAAATCAGACGGATGCTCAAAGGACTTTTAGAGAGATTATCTTCCTCCAATCTTTTCGGAACCATCCCAACATCGTGAAGCTACACAGCATACACAGGTGGGATTCGAAAAATATATTTTACTAGCGGCCCGCCCTCGCTTCGCTTCGGTGTAGAGCTGAAGTGTAGACTACAGTTTTTGTTCTCAGGCTTGTTTTATACCTATTCAATGACATTCATCTATGATTCTTCTTATACCTGCATGCAAAGTCTCAGCCCGATCGGTTTAAAATTGGCAAAGTTTCATACAAACTTTCATTCCCTATTTTATCGCCTTAGGGGTAGAATTGATCAAAATCCTTTCTTAGCGGATGCCTACGTCATAACATCTACCTGCATGCCAAATTTCAGGCCGATCCGTCCAGTGGTTCGGGCTGTGCGTTGATAGATCACTATGTCAGTCAGTCACCTTGAGTTTTATATATACATATAGATTTAAAGGATCTATTCCTATGAGGAGCTCGATGGCGCAGGTGCTTAGCAGGTTCGGCTGCGATCGTTGAAGTTAAGCAACTTTCGCAGTGGTCAGTCATTGGATGGCTGACCAAAAATCTTCTATCTCGAATTCCTCCGTGCTTCGGAAGGTACGTTAAGCCGTTGATCCCGGCTGCATCTGCAGTCGTTAGCACCCGCCAATCAGCACTGTCGATCTCCCTATTCCATACATAGGGAAGGCCTATTTCCCAGCAGTGGGGACATTAATAGGCTGATGATGATTTAAACTTGGCTTTAGTGTAAGTGGAGTAAGAGAGGTTTAATAGCGGATTCCCACTCGAATTGAAGCGCACTAGGGGAGCAATCTCCACTTTACGAAAGATTCCAGTGAAATAAAACGACTTTTTGGTGGTGTTCTGTTTCTATCGGTGAGTCAGTATCCAAAGCTCTACATATAGCGTGGCATCGCGTCGCCACGGCATGAGTCGCCACGCCAGAAATTTACGTGCGCCTTTAGCTGTTTCACGTCAATAATATTCTCACAAGAAAGTCCGTTAGATTACAAGATATGGCAACACTTGGAGGAAAAGGCGAGCTCAAAGCCTCATCCCAATTTGGAGTCACTCAAGACATCCTTGATTAAGGCAGCCGCCGATATTGACATGGACCTCGTTCGTGCTGCGATACATACTGGCCGCGCAGATTGAAGACCTGTATTCAAAATCACGGAGGTCATTTTAAATAAACTTTATTATCATAAGAATCTTTGTTTTGTAAAGTTCATTTTGGTATATATATGGTTACATAATGAATAATTTTGTTTCAATTATTTTATATTAAACATGTGACAGAATTTATGACCTGACTAGGTATATTATGTATATGTGTGTATGAGTGATGCGTGCGCTGCTTCGCTCCATTCCCCTATGCCTTATGCACCGCCTTATGTTAGGTTATTTAAGAAAAGAAGTTTCACTTCACATGTGTGGTCCGTGCACACTTTTTCTGTTTCATAATACAATCCTGTACTTTTTTGATGGGATGAAAAACAAGAGGAAGCTTTTTTATGGTGAATACGATTTAGGGCCAGGATGACAGGCAAAGGATAATTTTAGCGGCACCTAGCCCGTAACTTTTCTTCAGCATTGGCTACTCTTGTATTTCAACTTGCACTTAAGTGGAGAGGAATTATTCAATAAACCCTTATATAATAACTCGTTTCGAGTCTAATAGTTTCATGATCAAATCTTTCGCATAGATTTAGCCATTCCTAGTTCATTGATTGCGATTGGAAAAGTTTGATTTTGTATTTGATATAATTCCTGGACATTATTATAAATGGGTGTGTGAAACTGATAGAAAATGAATTGATTACTTAGCTATATTAAATATAACTATGAACATAGGTACACTATATAAAAAGTAAACTAAAGACGGCGCTGTGGCCTGATTACAAAATTAAAAGTCAATTGACAATAAATAACATTCAAATAATAGACTCAATAGACAAAGAACGTAGCTTTTGATTCACAATCGTTAAGCAAAAATCACAGTTGGATAATCCCTTTAGTTTGCGTAGGTAGGTGCTACGTTAATTTATTTTGTATCATCAATCAGTCTGTCCTTTTTAATGCTTTCAACTATAATATTAAATTAATCCGTGGAGTCTCCTTAGAAAGTTGTTCTGTGGGTAGCAATTACTTTTCTATTGTCGTCGTGTAGACACGCGAACTTCAAGGACCTGGTAACCGATATTTAATGGCGGCTGTCTGTTAGCATTATGCCCACATTAATATCCGATGATTCACATTTTGGAAAATAATTTCGTACTTGCTACTAAAGTGCTCACCTTTGACACGCGAAGAATTTCGAAAGACCCTAAGAAGTATGTTATATTATGAATTTTAATTATTACTAGCGGCCCGCCCTCGCTTCGCTTCGGTGTAGAACTGAAGTGTAAACTACGGTTTTTGTTCTCAGGCTTGTATTATACCCAATGACATTCATCTATGATTCTTCTTATACCTGCATGCAAAGTCTCAGCCCGATCGGTTTAAAATTGACAAAGTTTCATACAAACTTTCATTCCCTATTTTATCCCTTTGGGGGTAGAATTGACCAAAATCCTTTCTTAGCAGATGCCTACGTCATAACATCTACCTGCATGCCAAATTTCAGCTCAATCCGTCCAGTGGTTTGGGCTGTGCGTTGATAGATCACTATGTCACACGCACAGCGTCGCCATATACATGACTCTGTTGCTAATGGTAACCCAGCGAAAGTATGGTCATTCCTGGGCTCACTTGGCATTGGCAAGTCTAGATCGAGTTTACCTCTCAATCTGGATCCTGACTCCCTGAACCGCCACTTCACGCTCAATTCTCTTATCCCTCATAACGTTAAACTCCAGTCCCTCTCACGTATTCCTAAATTGACATATCCTCCCTTTTCTTTTAGGCCTGTGTCTGAGAGTGAGATTGAAAAGAATATACGTGCTGTTAAATCTAGCGCTGAGGGCTTAGATGGTATAGGCCGACGTATGATTCTCCTTTGCATGCCCTCTTGCGTTTCCATTCTCTGCCATATATTTAACTTTTCACTCACCACAGGAATTTTTCCGAGCTGCTGGCGCAAGGCTGTTGTCATCCCTATTCCTAAATCTTCAAATCCTACCCAACCTTCTCATTTCAGACCTATTTCTATTCTTCCTTTCCTGTCAAAAGTCTTGGAACGTCTTGTATTCCACCAGGTTAGCGTATTTGCTAACTTTAATAATATCCTTTGTCCTTTCCAGTCTGGATTTCGTCCGGGACACAGCACCGTTACTGCCTTAACTAAGATGTCTGATGATGTGCGAGAGGGAATGTCTAATCAACAGCTTACAACCTTAGTTTTATTAGATTTCACTAACGCATTTAATTCTGTTGATTTCGATATCCTTCTGGCAATGTTAAAATCTGCTTTTGTTTCCGATAACGTAGTCGAGTGGTTTCGAAGTTATTTAATCGGACGATCCCAATGTGTCCGTGTTGACGACAAACTGTCTGCCTGCTGTCAACTCACAGCCGGTGTACCCCAGGGCGGAGTCCTCTCCCCATTTCTTTTCTCCTTCTTTATTAATTTTTTGACCCCTCTCCTCTCTTGTCATTATCATTTATATGCTGACGACCTGCAGATTTATTCACAAGCCTCTATTGATAACTTAGACGGAATGATTGCTAAGCTAAACGCCAACCTTGAGACCATTCACGAATGGAGTAGTGCCCATGGCTTGACAGTGAATCCTCAGAAGTCTCAGGCGATCATCCTTGGCGGATCGAAGCAGATAGCCATGCTCAATTCTAGTATTATTCCTCCTCTTCTATTTTCCTGTACCCCTTTGACCCTTTGTGCTAATGTCAAAAACTTGGGTGTAATTTTTGATGCTGTCTTATCGTGGTCGCCTCACATTGCTGAAGTCAGCAGAAAGATGTTCGCTGCTGCCGGTTCACTGCGGAGATGGAGGAACTTGCTGCCAAGATCCAACTTGCGCAGTCACTTCTTTTGCCTATTCTGGATTACGCTGATATCTGCACTATTGACCTTAATGAGGATCTTTTAAACAAGCTCGAGCGTCTTCAGAACTTTTGCATTAGATTTATTTATGGATTGCGCAAGTTTGATCATGTGTCCGAATACAGGAATAAATTGAAGTGGCTACCCATCCAACTACGCCGTGAAGAGCATGTTCTCACTCTTCTGTACAACGTTCTGTATGATCCTCGCTCTCCTCCCTATCTTAAGGAACGTTTCCGATTTCTAAGTACCGATCACGTGCTCAACCTTAGGTCCAGGACAGACAATTTACTTAGGACTCCATTTACTCGAGCTGGATACTTTGGGGATTCGTTCACTGTCAAGGCTGCAATCTTATGGAATAACCTTCCATCAGAAGTCCGTCACTCGGCATCACTTGCAACTTTCAAGAACAAGCTTCATGAACATCTTTTATCAAGGTCCTAGTTTGCAACATATAACTTATATGTGTAGTGCTGTCGATTCTGGCATGGTTCTCTAAACCTAAACTTAAATTTGACAACAGTGCATCCTTGTCATTCTCTATACAGAATGAAAAGGAGAGACTGATGTTAAATTTAGTTTTAAGTTTAGAGAATCACACCAGAATTGACAGCAGTGTACTTATGTGTATATATTATTCTAATTATATTATGTTATGTTTGTATCAGTACCTACAAGCATAGCATATTATTATATATATATATATATATATATGTAGGTGTTATGTTTTGTATGTATTTTATATAATATATATAATGTTATTTCCATTTTATTTTGTTTTATATTATGCTGGCACATTACTCTTCTATCTCTGTTAAACTATCCTTCGACTTAAAGGTTGTCTGGAAGAGATCGCTTTTAGCGATAAGACCACCTTTACCCACCATAGTTGACTATCTGTTTTGTAAACCCTTTAATTGTGTATGTGTGAGTAATAAAGTGTTTATCTATCTATCTATCTATGTCAGTCAGTCACCTTTGAGTTTTATATATATAGATTATTACGGGTACTTACTTTTGTTCGGTTCAGTTTTTTTTATTAAAAAAGCTGATTTGTTCATTAGTA